TAGAGACTGAAGATCTCTTTCCTTCATAACCCTATTAAGGTTATTCCCATCCAAATTATACTTATAATTCAAATTGTGATAACCCACATGCATTATCTTGCATTTATTATAATTAAAACCCATCTGCCATTTATTTGCCCAACTCACTAAATGATCTAAATACTTTTGTAAATCAGCAGCATCTTCTTCACAGCTAGCAACACCCAATACCTTAATATCATCTGCAAATTAATTTATTAACTATCCCTTCATCTATGTCATTGATGTAAATCAAAAAGAGCAAGGTCCTAAGACATAGCCCCAAGGTACCCCCACTTGTGACATTAATCCAGTTTGACTGAACTCCATTTGCAACAACCTTCTGCTTTCTTACATCGAGCCACTCTTTTATCCAATTGGCTAACTTATCCCCAACACCTATAGAGCTGCCTTTTATGTGGCACCTTGTCAAATGCTTTCTGAAAATCCAGATACACAAAATCTACACTCTTACCGTCATCTACATAAGCAATAACCATTTCAAAGAATGTTAAAAGATTTGTAAGGCAAGATTTTCCTTTAGTGAAACCATGTTGACTATCCAATAAAATTCTAAGCTTTGTTAAATGACTTTGCAAAGCATCTTTTAACAAACTTTGTTTGATCTCATTTCCATTTATCAACTGATTAAGATGTGGAATACTGCTTAAATCGTCATTAGTAAAAACTGAAGAAAATGTAAAATTTAATAACCCAGCCATCTCATAATCATCTCAAAGGTCCTATCCCTATCCTAACATTTTGTTTCCCCTTAATGTATTTAAAGAAACCCTTATTGTTAATTTTTACTTTTTCAGCCAACTTTTTCTCATACAGCCTTTTTGATGTCCTAATTTCCTGTTTCAATAACTTTTTTGATCTTCTATAATCTTCTAAGTCTCCTGTCATACAGGTCAATTGAAATTTCTCAAATTTATGATGCTTTCTTTAATTTTATTTCTTAAACTCTTTGTCAGCCAACCTGGTTTTTTTACTTGTAGCTACCCTTTTCTTTCTATTAGAAATATGTTTACAATGAATATTTCAAAAATTTCCACATCTGATCAGTGTCTCCAAATAACTCAGTTGCTTAATTCAAAACAGATAATTCTTGTCGATTCCCTTCAAAATTTGCTTTTCTTAAATTTGTAACCAAAATATTATTCCTCATTACCATATGCAGCAAAACATTATACCTAATACAGCAATGATCACTTGCACTCAGATGGTCTCCAATTTCCACCCTCTCAATCATTTCTGTATTTGTGGACACAATGCATGAAAATTCCTACATTATGAACCAACTCTAGTTCAATTTTTACAAAGATTCAGGTGGTAAGATCATTTTACACTCTACACAATATACAGATTTATGACATATCACTTCCATGTTATCATTACGAACATTTGTGAATCATTTTACACTCTACACAATATAAAGAATTATGACATATCACTTCCATGTTATCATTACGAACATTAACTAACTTCTAATATATTGGAAAGATTCAATATAAAAAGTGACATTCTTTCCCCGCTGATTTTTCCAAGCCCGTTCCCTTGGCTGTGGTTTCGCTAGATAGTAGATAGGTACAGTGGGAATCTCGTTAATCCAATTATCAAGTGATAATCTGTAGTTGATTATTTTAGGAAATAATTTATTTAATCTGTTTTGTATGAGGTTGTTCATAATTCTGTATATTGTGTAGAGTGTAAAATGATTCACAAATGTTCGTAATGATAACATGGAAGTGATATGTCATGTTTCTGTATATTGTGTAGAGTGTAAAATGATTCACAGTAAAGGTAAAGTGAAATTTATTGTTTGAAGTAATTATATTAAATTGGCCAAAATGCATTTTCAAGGTAGTGAAATTTCACAGGATTTGTCCTTTTTTTTTATTTTCTGTAATATTTTATTTTTTTATTAAGTTTTTTATATGTATGCTTTTGGTATGAGTCATAATTGATAATTTCAAACTACATTTTTTGCATAAATTAAATACTATTAGTAGACTCTTTTGGAATGATTTATTGAAGCAAACTCACGCCCAAGTTAGTATTTCAAGGCAACAATTTTCTTTCCCTTGGCACTTTTTTGTTTTTACTAGAAGCCTTTTTTATTATTCTTTGTTCTGCACTAGATTTTGGAGAAGAGCTACCCATAGGAATTGATTTAACAACAACATGATGCTGATTCTGAACAGGTCCTGGTCCAGGTCCTGGTAATGGAGATAAAAACAAGCTGGTAGCACCAAGTGCTGAAGAAGATAAAGGTAAAGGATGATCTTTCCTGTCTGGTGAAGCAGGGTTTTTATTTTTATTCATAAAATTATCTGAAATTCTCTCTACTCGCACCACTGGAGCTAGTGTATGATTTTTCTGGATCTTTGGTGTTACTGTGTTTTTTTCTTGTTTTACTTTTGAAGGCTTGCCATCCATTCCAATAGCCCCTAGCAACTTCAGTCGAGATACAGAATGACCAGTTGATGACTTCATGTTTATATGAGATGATGACTTGTTAGGCACTAAAACTGTGTGAGATGATAAGGCTGAGTTTGCTTTAACCAAGCAAGTCTCTGAATGAGTAACAGCTGTAGGAGAAACTTGATGTATACTTTTATCATTTCTAAAATACCTGTAAAAAAAATGTAACTTAGAAATAAATCACTTGTTAAAGATTCAAATTTATAAACTTTTTACTTTGTATTAGTAATTGAGACCCAATGTGGTTCAGTGGTAAGTCAGGGCTTATCATGCTAAAAATTGGGTTTTCTCTTCCACAGTGGACAGAGCACAGATAGCTTATTGTATAGCTTTGTGCTTCATAACAAACAAACAATCAGTAATTGGAGATTTTTATTTTTCAGAGATAAGACATGGTAAAGACTCACTGGATAACTTTGTAATATTATCACTAACAAAAATAGAATGTGATTTTTGATAAATGCATGCTTGGGTTACAAATATTAACCAAATGAGTTCAAAATTTAATATTACACTTGAGTGAACCTATACAATATTACTTGTTAAAAATTTGTATTTTAATACATATTTAAAACTAATCCAATGAAGCATTTTAAAAAAAAAAATTACCAAGTCAAATATATTTCACATTACACATCCTTACCAACACTGTGGTAAAAATAAATGTGAAGCTCAATATATCATTCAATTTACCACTTGTCACCAGGTTATACTGGTTTCAGGGAATTCCACCCCTCATCGGTAACCCTGGATAAAGATGACTTGAAAGAATAAGACTAAGCTTCACATAGTGGTGGAATACATACTATACATACAGTGTTTTGAGATGTCTTTAAATATAGGTTCACTGTGGTGAGTAAAAAACATTTCAAAACACCACACATAAAGAATTTGGTTATCTGTACAGTTTCTGTTAATCCATCAAACACGTTTGTTGCCCTAACATACTGCCTACATAAATAATATATCAGAACATTTTTTTATTATTAGGGGTATTCTTTGGTGTACAAATTTTACCAGTTTACAGTACCAATGTCTCAAAAAATAGCTGTAAAAACAAGGTACAACAAATAATAATAACAATAAATAATATCAATGAAAAATTTTTAAAGGTTTTGGTTTGAGTCAGAAACTTGATATTTCAATGTTCAGATCTGTAAACAAATACATTAGAGAGAGAAAAGTATCAACTGATATTGGTTAACTGACTCTGAGCTTGCAAAGAGTTCTGTTGCTTGGGGTTAAAAAGAGATTGTACCAATGTATCACAAATTGCCAACAACAATTTGTACTAAACAAAATGTGTTATAACGTAAGCTCCAAGATAAACTTTACAATACATACAGCTAAACGTTTTCAGTGCTCTAGTATACTGTTAAATTATTCAGGTAAAGAAACTTTCATATAAAACCTAAAACAAACTTAATACTTTCTAAACATATTAAACGTAAATGTCACAATAATAGACATTTATAACAGTAAATTCGTTTGATCCGCTTGAAATATCACTATGAAAATTGTTGAAGACATTAACACGCATGCAAACTTGTAAAGTATTTTATTAGTGATCACACGCACAACACAAACTACGTCTATTTAAAAGGAATGTTATGAAAATGTAAAGGTTACACTTAGTCTTACATTGTCACGTTGCCAATATCTAAATAACAACACGAGCAAGTGAGAAAGAGTCCGATGATGATTTCGCTTTAACACCGTATTGCTAACCTAAATCTTGCGCAACGGACGGTTTGTTGGTGTAAGTTTCAGAGAATAAACGTTTTTTCCGTTGCCCGAAGCATTGACGCTAAAAGTCGCTGACATTTCCTTAAATCTTTTTTATCGATCCAATATGGCAGGTATATAGGAAAATTTCTACGGTTTGACATATACTTTTACTGCCACCTAGCGGATATGGAATAAAGCTTTCAGCAAAACAAACCCACCGCGAAGTGTCCACGCGACTTGATACAATAACAGACGTGACCTTCGTCATGACTTGAATTTCACACCGCCTGTGACAAGTACCAATCAGAAAAAAGATTCTCAAAAAACAATGTTAACTTTCTCAATACACACAGAAACAGTTTAATCTACTAAAAATGACATCAATATAACAGAGAAAATAATAATGGTTTAGATCAAACGTAATGTTGATGGACGTAACGCAAGGTAACTGTCAGTACGAGAAAAAAATATTAAAACATTCACTCATAAAATCGTAAAAAAACTTAGTTACATAAATAATTGTTTTCAGTTATTATGGGTTTTTTAAACGCTTTCTTAAAGAATAGGGTCATATCAGTAACATAATATTTGTGGCTCTGATAAAATAAAAGTAAAAGAGGTTAATATATTCAATAAAATTAAACAGGACTTGTAGTTCAAATGTGTTGCTTAATTTCCACATTTTTCAAACATGATATATTCCATGTTTGAAAATTTTAAATGTAATGACCAGTAAACTTTAAATACGCATTTATACATCACACACAGATTTTGGAAATCCTGTATTTATATATTTCAAAAGATACCGAGGTATTAATATATATATATATATATATATATATATATATCCACTTCCTTCACAACCCCTTCCTTCCCTTTTCAATTATCAGATAGCAAGTTACAGTTTCTATTATAGTGAGGTTGACAGAGAGTTGAGTCAGTAGCATACGGATCCAACCAACATTTAAATACAAAATTATCCATTTGAGCTTGTGCATCCGAATGTAACAGTATCAACGTGTCTCATGACAAGTTAACATCCAATTAGGCATGACTATCCTGAAAAGTGTGATCACAAATTAGAAATAAGCCTTATCAAATTAAGCTCATTTTAATCGCTTAAGTGGAGCTATAGCATAGTGATAATTGAAGAATTAGCCCTGATAATTATTACCTATCTTAGCGATATTTGAGAAACAAACAAATGAAAAAAAAAGCATGTGTACAGATACTTACCTGTACTGAAAACCTGCTGCCGAGAGTAATTTATCAAGTCTATACGTAAAACCTTACAGCACGAGCGTCGCCAACCTTGGTTACCGGGACGAAGAAATATAAACGTACAGCAAGCAAGGTTACTAAAACTGCGACTCAGCACCTTGTGCCAAACACGTGTCTTGAAAAGAACGTTGTTTATATCGAGTGTCCGAGCATCTCTGAATAAGATACCGAAATAATTTACATTTACTGACACGAATCACAGCACAATACATAAACCCGAATCGCTGGTAATGTATCACTAATCTATTTCAAATTAATTTGATAATGTTTACAGTGGAAACGACAAACTGGCGGCGAGCTTTCAATGACTATATACACATATCACACACTGTGTCACACATACATGTATATAACGTCAATCTTCTAGTTACGTAAAGAAAGACGTCATATTTCACTAAACCTCTACACAACGTATCTCACGTAGTTATCGCACAATACGTAGGTGGAACTTTACGACTGATAAAATGACGTATATATATTTTTGGGCTATAAAATAATATATATAAAATAAAATGGTAAAAATGTAAATGTTCGTTTGAACTCTTGTTTTTTTTCAGTTTTACCCTCTCGTTCTCATTTCTTAGAATAAGTAAAAAAATTTCATGTTCTAAAATAATGTTACTGGGATCAAAATGTATTTTTTGACTTCTTTCTTGATATAAACTACTGTTTTATATCATACCTGGCCATACTGCAAATATTGTATGCTCAACTAGACGATGACGAGAATGATTTGCCAAGTTTCCGGTTACAAGTAAACATTACGAATTGATAAGTTCAGTACTAAATACTAATCAAACTACTTAATCAAGCACATCAAAACTTTATATCAAGGGAATCTCAAACGATTTATAAGCTGAAATCAGTGAACAGATTCCTAAACTTTCCGTGCACACAAAAAAGTAAGTACGCGGGCAGTGCTGTTGACAGAAAACGTGTCAAACTTTCTAAAAACAAATGATAACGATTTGTAAAAGTAAACTCGTTTTATACACACACACACATACATATATATATGTGTGTGTGTGTGTATTAAGAACTATAAATTATTTTATCTTCTGGTAACCTTTTAATACCGTATTTTCACATGAATAACCCGCCCCCCTGGTACTACCCCGCACCTGAGGAAAAAGGTGCTCTAAGAAACTATTAGGCACGTATTACCCGCACTATTGTATACCCCGCAACCCAGTGACATGACACAGATAAATTTTGGAAGACAAGAAAAATTAAAGAATCCTTTTACATACTACGGTAACATAATAAAACGTTCACTAAACACGTGTTGAAGTACAACAATATAAACAAATATTCAGAATAGAAAATTGGCAACTTCAGTCTTAAAAACAAACAAACAAACAAAAACCCGTATTACCCGCACACCAGTATACACTGCAGTTGGCATTTTTTTAAAATTAATTTAACATATAGCCCGCGAGTTATTTGCATGAAAGAACGTTAGCAAATAAGACAGAATAACAAGTACTAACGATTCCAATTATATTTCATTTTCTCAAACGGCATGTGTGGTTAAAGTTTGGTTTAGGTATTATACACACAAGGATTATCTACGCTAGCTGTCATAAATTTTGAATTGATAGACCACAAGTCAACTACGCCTACCGTTAATTCTTGGACTATTATTATACAATATTGGGATTTGACCGTCACTCTTACAGAGTATCCACGACCCCAAAAATGCAGGTTGCTTTTCTTTCTTTTCGACAAAGAAAAGCGAAAAAAAAAGAACATTTGGAACCACAGTCCAGCACGCTGACCACAGAAACCAGCAAGTGAGGATCTAGTACAATAGCTTGAAATTTTAGATATATAGGAATCAAGAACAACAAATCAAAAATACTATGATCTTTCATGGGTAATAAATACATTCTGCATCAAATCGACCAAAATGTTTTCGGTTAAATTAAAAAACAAACAAAAAAAAACAACTTCTTATCAAGTAACTATTATCCAAAACGTTTTGTTAAATGTGCTTCTTTAATTCATAAAGTATTTAATGTATTTCTTTCTTTGTAACTTGAATGGTATGCAGAAAGAGCAAAATACCAAAAACTTAAAATACAGTTAAAAGAAGTTTATTACATATTTTTAGTTCGTTAGAAGATTTAAAAATGGCTTATCAATTACGAAAAAGCTGCTACTAAACAAATCACATTTCGATACTATGTGAAAATTCTTTGAAAAGATATACATATTACGGTATATAGTATATCAATGTAACAAACACTATTACTTTTTATTGATTACTTATTATAAAAAAAGTTTGTAAGGTCAAGTGTCATTCAAGGTAATTTGACCTTTGTAATAGGTTGTTACTGGTCTGTTTTACGAAATTTTACTATTTTCTAATACGATATACATATTATTCACAACGTCCTTGTAAATACATACACACACACTCATATATACATTCATACATTCCTCAACGTTTCCACATTTTTAAAGAAGTATTCAGTGCTACTTTACCATACTGTTGTAAAGCACAAAGCTACAGAATGGAATATCCGTGCTCTGTCACTGACTGCGGGTATCGAAACCCGATTTTTGGTGTTGTTATCCCATTGACTTATCGCCGAACTATCTGGGGGGGGGGGGGGAGGCACACAATTGTCAGGTTTCTTTTGTGTTATTGGTTAAAATTAAGAATGGAAAATCCAGTCCATTTAATGATAACAAAAGTTTTATTCCTTTGATCACAAGTTCTAAAAGTTTCACCTATCCAACGATAGGAATAATTTCATAAATAAATAACGTCTCAATAGAAAATTCAATTATTTGCAAATTTTCTTGAGCGTGCAGTACTTCCAGTATGTCTTTTACACCGCTGAAAACCAACAAAAAAAGAAATAACAGACAAATGGTCTGACGTAATTCCCTTATTAAATTCAAACCGTTTCTAAATTGTCAAGAAGGTTTCGGCGATAAAGCTACTTCCTTCACGTGACGTCAAAAATTCCCTCTGGACAAACAATATCAAAAATGTATAAATTATAGAACGTAACCCACAACAATATTCTATAACACTGAAGCCGATGTATTAGAAATAGCGTCACTAACTAAAACAAGTACAAATAAATGACAGAAAATAAATCACACGGCACATGAAAATGACATTTATCACAAATAAAAAGAACCTATACCATGTACTCATTCGCTCACAAAAAAAGGTAACTTCCATAATCATCCAAAAAATGTCTACAAAACTAATGTATGTACAGTTACGTGAGTGTAACGTTAAAATATTTAGCAAAAAATACATTGAATAAAAAATAACTTAACAACATGAAAATATACAATTTAGAAGAGTTACCAACATAGAAGATATTTCATCTGAGCGCAAAAAAAAAAGCTTTGAAAAACGCAATGGAAAATAATCATATGATTTTTTTGCAAATAGCTTGATACTTAATCGATTAACGTGACGTTACAATCACGACGGACGTCACAACACGATGGATTCTTGTCCAGACTGTATAACAATAACAGCAAAAGTGTCAATTGGAACTCAGCAACATTTGGCGCCAAGTCAATGGGCTGAAATGCATCTCACCTGGAGAAGACTATCACCCAACTGGAGCAAGTACACAATGATCACAAAATCGGCGCAAGAAATTCCCTTCCCACTAAATACATATTTATAAAATAATTTTTACCTTTAAATCTTATAACATTATATATACATATATATCATTTACAGTGAATTTTAGATGTCTCTTCATATGACGAAATTCAGAAAACCTGTCAACGTTTTCAAAAGTTCTTAGTCATATGTACATCAAAAGAGTGAGCATTTTTATTTGTAAAGTCACATTCTTCGTTTTTTGAAAAAAACCTTAATATTCGATTTTAACAGATGTGGTTGTGGAACTCTTCTGTAATACTATTTATACACAAAAAAATTACCACAGCAACACAAGTATCCATAAAAGATCAACCTACATTCCATCATTTAGGACTGTACTGCAGTGTTTTTAGAAACAATTCACTAGCCAAACCAATTTTAAAATAGAAATGCATCCAATGCTAGTACTATTTACTCCTCCCTTTAATTTCTGAATTTGCATTTTCACTTGTTTCTGTTTGATGGTCATGCTCTATTGTTAAACAAGAGAATTCTGTTTACCACTCACTACAAACATCACAAGGTCACTTTCCTCTATCCTACTTTCCTATTTAACAGCTTTATACTGCTGCAAGGCTGATGTTTGTCACTTGGAAAGCCTTCCACTAAGAAAAATCATGCATAAAAAATATATCTTTTTGACTACTTAGCTACATTAATGAACTAGAAGGGCATACAGTAGAGCACATACCTCCACCTTGCAGTGTTGATCATATTCAGCCCTCAAAAAAATACATAAATATGTCTGTTGTTATCGATGGATATGGACCATATTTGGCACGACAATGAGAAATAATATTATTCATACTTCCACCAAGTTTCTTCAAAATCTGATCATTCTTCACTGAGTTATAGAGCAAAAAAGTGTATGAAAAATCAGTCCCCATGTTAACAGACAGGGATTTTTTCTATTTTTGTTTGTGACCTTGCTGTGATTTTAACCTTTGTCCTTGACCCTCCAAGAATTAATCACTTCTAAGTTAGATCATAATCCAAATGTATACCTCCAGTGGCAGAGGTAACAGCCAATTCCAGAATGGTGGAGTTTCAAATCCACATTCAAAATCCTGCTTGAACTTTTAATACATTATTTCCAATGGAGTTAAAAGAAACCAAACTGTACTCATACTTTTGGTATCTTTTCTCATAAATGCAAACAGATGGCTAGATTTTATCTGATGAAAAAATCTTGAAAGCTTATGAACTTGGTAACAAGTTTGTTATTTTCAAAGTAAAATACTTAATCAATAGTTTGCTAATTATGTTGAAATTCTATCTGCTATATACTCTATGTTTCTGTTATAACAGTCACTGTATCTACTGGCAATAGCTACGCTACATTCTCTATCTTTTATAAAAACAACAAGAGACAGAGAATGGTCCCCTTCATTTTGAATAGGATTTTGCTGTTATGAAGATTCTAAAAATAAAGATTACTACATGTATAAAAATACCTAGATCACCTAAACAGTTTAAAAAATAATACTAGCAGAATACAAGATAACTCAGTTTTTGGTCAACAGTAACAACTTCTACAGTATATTAATATACACTGCTTCTTAACTTCAAGAAAAACACTATAAAAATACAATGAAAAAAAAATGTTGATAATTACTGATAAAGAAGAACTTTACAAATATCTCAAAAATTATTTATTAGGTGGCAATTCATGCACAAGTTTTTCTTCAGGCTGAAATACAGACTACACATTTTCATTTTAAGCTGAAATACCCGTCAACTGATGGGGAATGTTTAAATTTAATTAAAACAATATAAGTTTAACAGCAACCACATATTTCGAAGTAATAACTTGAACACAAGCTTTATCTCTAAATTTTGAATTATAACAAAGCTTCTTCATAAACAAGATTTGCAGTTTGCTTTCCATCTACCAACAAATAAAGATTTTGTGGTTATCCCACCCTTGAACACTCTACATCTTATTGATCATGAGAAAAGCATAGTTGTTTGAGAAACAGTTCAGCAACTTTCATACTTTGACCTTGAAACCCTTTAGAATATTCAACATTGTCTAAAGTATCAACCTGCCAAGATTGTTTGAGATTGACTCAATAGACTGGGAGTAATTAACCAACAGGATTTACAAAACAGAAATAGCGTTAAGTTCAATTATGACCCCCTTAGGACATTCTCCATACTTCATAGTGTTTACATATAAATTTTGGTTGAGAATGGCCCAATAGGCTCGGGGGAGTTAGGGTGCAAACAAATATATCTTTATATATATATATATATATATATATATAGTAGAGAGAGAGAGAGAGAGAGATAGTCTTTACAACAATATACCAATTATCTTTGAGCTCATGTTAGAGGTAGATACCTGATTAACAAGCTATAGCTGGGACTTTTATCACTTTTGATAATTCTTTTACTAAAATATTTAACAAAGTGTATGTAAGATAAACTTTAATTTTACAAAAGCAATTATTATGAGTAACTACAGTATCTTACTCAACTGCCTCGTCATGGGTCTCATAAATATAATAAACTTAAACAATAATATGAAGCCTAACCTATCATTTGAATTCTCACTTGTCACCAAATTATACCTGTTTCTGGAGAATTCCATCTCCCATAAGTAACCCTAGACAAGGGCAATCAAAAGAACCAGACTAGGTTTCATATTTAGTTTTAGTATTTCTAGCAGTTTGTCTGCTAAATAAATTAAGATCACCAATTCTACACATTCTTCAAATCCTATATAAATATAGATTCATTTTGGTGAGTAAAAGACAACTCAAAACACCATGCATATAATAAGTTCTTTAAATGTCCTTCCACTTGGCTCTAAAAAAAACCAATAGAAATAGGAACTACAGCTTGTCAGAAATTAAAAACTTCACTAATGGTTTTACATGGGTGAAATGGGTTCCAAATTAAATAAACTTGTGTTCTAGCTAATAGTAACATTATTATTATGTTTTTGGAAGCAGATTTTACAGTGCTGTTACAAATAAAATTAATTTGTTGGGTGGGAAACTAAATTGCTGAAATCACAGAATACAAACACTCGTTTGCATGCTACCTTTCTTCATCCAGAATGTCTGTGCTCTAAAGTAGTAGTAGTAGTTTAACATAATTATACATTTTATTTTACCTCTAATTCAACAAAACAGTGCCATTTTGTTTGTAATTAATACAACTGCATTATTTCCCCCAAAATGGGCCAAAGGCTGCCTGGAGGGGTCACCTGATTTAACCTCTTGCATCACTATACAGTAGTGTGTTGTCAGTCAGTCAGCCAGTAGACATTAAAATGACATCACATAAGGGACACTTAATGTTTCAACTTGTAATGTTGTAACGTCAGTAATATGTGCACATGCCAAGATTCACAAAAAGAATTATGCACTCTGTATGCGACAACACAGCAAAACATATGAACTTCAAAAGCAAGAAATAAAAATATTTGTTACTCTTAATTTTGTTTTTTTTTACTCTTGAAACAAACCACTTTTGGGGACCCTGCAGAAGTACATCTAGTAATGTAACTAGATATTATTTCACATCCTAGTTCCTCAAATCTGTTGCAAAAAAGAACTCATAAGATCCATAGAAACTAGTAATTAGAAAATTGTAACAATGCAGTGAAATTCCTGAAAATAAAAACTAATATACTTGATAATCTACGCACTTTCAGAAATAGGTCTTTTTTTACCCCTAAAGATGGAAGGTCTGCCTTCTAAAAATGCTTTCTTTATTGTTTTTTTTATTTCACAATTCTTGTAAGTTTTGAACCTGCATGATTTCTTAGCATCACTGATTAAAACTTGAAAATAAATCCCAACAAAAGGAAATCATCTGCCATAATTGCCAAAACACTTTAATAATGTATTGTTAAACTAATTGTACAATAGGCCTACACAAATTCAATCCTTAATGTAATGCGATGTTTATGTTTTATATTTATGCTTTACTATTAACTGTAATTCCATGCATCACTCATATAATATTATTTTAATATAATGGATGTGCATGTATATATATATGAATCTGTGACCCAAATAATAAATACAATGTTGCACCATCTATTGAATGACACCACAAACAATAACTCTTAAAAAAATTTACACTTTGGGAATTCAAGATTCAGACAATTAGAAAATAACTATGGTATGTGCAACAGCCATTTCTTTATCAAAGAACACAATTTTAAATAAAAGTATTTTCCTCACCACAAGAACATGACTTTCACCAGGCCTGTACATGAGGGTTTCATTATATTTTTATTAATGTAATTTGTAAATATAGTACAAAAAAATGTTCTTAAAAAACTTATTTTTTCAATAAAGGGTACCACTTTCAATAAATAAAAACATTACAGTTTGTAACAGCACAATCCAAACACTTTTCCTTTGCAGTACTTCTCAGAAAAATCCTTTTTTTGCTTTTTTAGAAAATGTTCATTTTTACAAAATTATTTAAAATGAGGTATGAATACTATGATTAGTACTAACACAAGAGCCACATTTCTGCTCATTTACATACACAGTGATTTGTCAATGAATTGAGTAATAACCCAAGGTTTTACTAGCCCTAGCACTTGAGCACGAGTGAACAGTGGTCATGTGAAAACTAGTGTTTAGTGTGCAAACCCTGGATTGTTATTGTATGTTTGTATTAAAAGCAAGTCTTATTTGTTTAGCAATTTTTTCAGATATTTTATCAAACTTCTAAACTTAAATTTGAACTTTAATTTGATATTGTATATATGATGTAATGGAACTGAGACTTTGATAAAAAAAATTTTCTCTTAACTTTTCATTAGAGCTTTTGTGAGATTTTACTTTATCATTAACTTTGTTTTAAGAGTTTCAGCAGTATTTTATTCTGATTCATGGTGTAAGACATTGTTTCATTTCAACCTAGCATTGGGTTTAACTTAACATTACATTCTTCTGTTTTATATTACAGAGAGGGAGGGCACTCTCAGGACTGGCAACAGAAATCTCACTAAAGGTTCACTTCTTTTTCTCTCTCTCTCATCAGTCCATTATAGCCACAACAGACGTACCTGCCCTTGTTTACTGTTTTATCTGTGATTGCATTGTTGTGTTTTGTTAACAAATATTATTCTTCCATGATTTGATTCTATCTTCCTGACAACCTTAGTTAGAGATTGGAGAAATAAACAGACACACACTCAGTAAACTCAGTATCCTTTTAACCTTAGGAGGCCCAGAGTACTCCTAGAGAAGTCCATGAGTGTGAAAATACCACATCTTCTACAGTTCTAAACAAACTAAAAACTTTTGTCTTTTTATGTAACAAATCAAAAAGCTCTAACAATGAAGCATTAGTAATGTAACCAATAAGTAAAGAGGTTTACCAATAATATTGTTTATGATGATATCTTTGTACAGAGAAAGAGGGAGAGAAAAAATGGAAAAGAAGTAATTTTTAAAACTAGTTTTTACTTATTTCCAGGAATCTGGATTCCTGACATACAATTCACAGACGTTTCTTATTCCGATTTTCTATATATTTATAAATTTGAGCAGAAACATCTTTCATTAGTAACTCACCACACTCACATACATGATGCATGCAGTGCTATAACATATGGGTACTGGTGACAGTATCCATTTCATCAAGTAAATTGGAAAGCTCATTTTATATTTATGCAAATATAACCATGCATAAACTTTAAAATTATGTTCTAAAGTTAAAATAATTCCTGTAGAATATATATATACTTTTATGTTCCCAATCAACAGGTAACATAATATAGTTATTTACAATCTACATAAAGATGTGCATGATTAAATCAAAATTAACGTTTAAGCAGCAAAAACTGTGCTATTATAAGGCCTGCCAAACTAAGTAATTATTAAAACTGGATGATATCCAACAGATATTGCTACATGCAATGAGATATGGAAAAACTAAAGAAAATAAAGAGCAACAATACCTTCATCTGAAATGCTACAAGCTATACTGATAAATTCAATTTCATATTGAAATGTTGAATACACTGAATACAAAATATTAATGATAGATCAATACAAAAATACTGCTGAAAAATATATATTGTTCAATGAAAATACCCACAAGGCATCATTAAAATCTCAACTGATGTACATTGTTGAAAAAATACAACAGACAACAAAACAGTAGGAAGTCTCGTAGAAAGTTAGAGTTATATGAAGGGAACTGTAATGGCATTTAAAATTTTTTTTATCAATGTGTCATTTTGAAGTATTGATGCAGATTCATGTATATATATACGTGTGTGTGTGTGTGTGTGTGTGTGTGTGTGTGTGTGTGTATCTGGCTAGAATACATAACAAATAAGCTCTACACATCAGGGACATCATTTGCTATTTAATTACATATAAGATGATTTAAAAAGTACAGTTTTTCAAATATCATTACTTTTATATATAAACCAGAAATGCAGTTGATTACTATGTGATGTAATGGCATACACTCAGAATCTTAACAAGCCAGCAAGCATTCACTGATTAATTTGATTGATAGTTCATAGTTATTAAGTAACTATCAAAGCAGCATTGTCCAGTGTTTACACAATCATTACATGATAACATTTCATTCAGTAATATTACAATCATATATTATGAGTCAAAAGAGAAGCCAGGATATGCTTGCAACAGCAGTTGCAAAGAGAAGAAAGTAAACAACTATTCCCTACACACCTCAGATTTTTTCTGAAATGTAGCTCATCAACATATATCAGATCTCTAAGAGCTGTTTCAAATGATTTTCAAATTAATTTCTAAAATTAGTGCTTTGCCCTAAGAAGAAAAAAACATACAGGATTACATAAATACTCAGTGAAATACATGAAATTTAATTATACACTTCATAACTTTTTATATGAATCCCTCTAAATTCTATGATGAAGTAAGTTTCATTTCAGCATTAAATTTCCATTCTCAAAACTGAATAATTATTCACCCACTTGGAACCTTTTTTTACTTGGCACAAATATTTAAGAACTTAGGAATTCATCATCAGTTCATACATATATGTAATCATGTGGCCAAATTATCTGCCATTTTTCTACAACCAAATGCATAAACATATAATGTTTAAAAGAATGCAGAGTTAATATTTTCCTACTCTTTAGTTGACTCTAAACAGATTAGGTATTTCCACAGCACTTAGAAAAATTGATTTGCAGTATTATATAGTGACTACAGAAAAATAAATATGTATGTGCTGTTCATCAAAAAATTAAACCATTTGCTTAAGCAAACAACATTAGTGCTATTCATAGATTCACAGAAATATAACAGTTTTGGTAAATATGACAAACTATAAACTAGCAGTTTCAACAAGAGAAAGGAAGTAATAGAAACGTAGTAGCACACTTTACCACTACGTTGTGCCCAGCTTTTCACTTCCATATCTCTTATCCAGCTCTACAATTTAAATGGCAGGGTAATACAGTATCAACTAATAAAATATCTATTGTCCATCATTTTCTCAAACAAATATTAAAATATTAATAAAAATAAATTGCATATGAAGATATATCCCAAATACAATATTAGAATGTTTCTAGGCAAATAAAGTACTTATGAATATAAAAAATATAAAATAGTATTTGTCAGTTACTCATAGAACTTGTGAAACAAGTTAAATCTGAAAGCCACTACCTACTCTTCTGGCATGTAATCTTGAGTCACTTTATAGTTCATGCTTGAAACATATCATCGCCATCAAGTATGTCTGTATTAATCCAAAATATATATAGTATGTGTGTTTCACATTTATTTGATAAGTTTTACTTATTTACACATGTAAATAGATAAGGACTCCCCAAATCGTTACCAATGTCATAAAAAGATATCAATCCAAAAATAAAGCATTATGTACTGAAATAAAATTCCCACAAACAAAACACATAACTACATGCCATATTATAATAAAGTTACTGTATTTTTAACCTTCCTTAGAACAGTAACAAATGGTCTATATGAAGCAACTTAAGACAAAATCCAAACAACTGAACTTTTGCCATGACAAAAGTGATTCTGACCAAGCATTAATTTCATTTCAAATTATAATAAAGTCCAGTCTCATTGTTAAAAAATGAAAGGCAGAGATAACAGTAATTCTATCTCTACATGTGTCAAGCACACCAGGTATTTTAGAAATTGAACTAAAGAGTTACCTGGTGTACTAGTCATGTACGCAGATAGACACACCTGCACTAGTCCTGACAACGAACGACTACCTAAAATAAATAATTAAATAATTCACAGTTGGGCACATCACATTTCAGGATGCAGATTGCTAAGACTGCCACTTGTTTATAAATTTATATTTAATTTTTTCATAAAATTCCTACAAAGCTAACTTAAAGATATCACAATGCAGAAGTTGCAGTCTATATTTCATCTATACCTTTGTACTAGCATGTGCAAGTTTACAAAGTGTCTCTGTGTTAGTTTGAGTTGTTACTTACTAGCAGTACTAGCATGTGAAAGTTTAAAAAGTGCCTCTATGTTAGTTTGAGTTGTTATTTACTAGCAGTACTAGCATGTGAAAGTTTAAAAAGTGTCTCTGTGTTAGTTTGAGTTGTTACTTACTAACAAGCACTAAGGTATTCAACCTTTAAGCTTAGTTGATACAGCACTAGCTTACTGGGCAAGATGTACAGGTTTTAATAATATCCAAGAAGTAAAAAAAAAGAAATTACCAAAGTATGGACTGATGTCCAATGTGAGGTCTTGTCTGTGAGAGGGGAAGAATGTGGTAGTTTAAGATGTTAAAAATATTCTTTACTAGCAAGTGCTAGTGAGTTAACCCTTTAGTTCAGTGGATAGAGCACTCACCTCGCATGCGAGGTCTCAGGTTCGAATCTGATCTGAGAAAATTACATTAAATTAACTGTCATGAAACTAGTTTTTTCGTGAACACGAGTTAACGCTTCAGGATGAGCCTTGTTTATGAGTGGAAGAATGTGGTGGTTTAACCTGTCAGGGGTTGAAACAATTTATTACATGTTTCATCTGTATTCTTTCAGAGAACTTTGAAATGTACGAGTCAAAAATGTAACCAACTTAGAGTCTAGATGTTCCTCTATACAACTGCCATTGTATTATTGAAGATACAGAGTGTCAAAGCGGAGAATTTTCAAAGCTTGTTGGTCACATGACAATACATCTGAAGTTTTAAGTAGTTCTTTGAAAGGTTTCTTTTGAAATAAAGGACTTAAAACTTAGATAACATAAAACTTCAAATCATAACATACATTATAATGCCAATTTATAATAAAGGTGTATAATGAAATTTGGAATATAACACAATGACTAGCACAGAAAAGTGTTTAAAGGGGTACTCATAGTAAAAGGGTTAAAAAAAGTGAATTATATCTTATTCACATAGAATATGGATAAGTATAGGCAACCTGTACTAAAACAAAAAGAAATATTCCTGAATACACCAAAATAAATATATATTCTTTTTCTAAAGTATGAAATGATTACATCTGTAGTTGTAGAATCTTGCCTTACTAACTTTAACTTTGCATGTTCAAAAAAAAATTGTTTTGATTATTAAGTTAACACCTTCCATTCTATAAAACTGAAATACAAAATGTTTATGTGGCACTCAGATATCGTGGAGATCAGACTTAACAATTATATATACAAATTCTTGGAAATGAAAAACTCATACAAAACTATGAATTAAGTATAACTGAAAAATACCCTAAGATTGTTTTCATGTATTATTTTTCATGTCAGAACTATTTACAAATTAAGTAGCTAATATAATATTTACCACATATTTTTTTGCTACAGATAGAAACCACAATTAAAATTTTTAGCAGAGATTTATGATTAACACATTCCTAGAACACCAATAATATGGATTTATTCATATTTTACCATCTTATTCCAGTGACTTTAGTGTTTGTAATAATACATATACATATAATTTAAGGACAACAAGGAGCCCATTGGTCCATTTAAGCGATACTAAACTCTAAGATAATTGTAAAACACACAAAGTCAGCCCTTACCATTCAAATAATTATCAAGACTTCTCTTAAACTCCTTTTAATTAACTGCATCTATCATATATGAAAGTAACACATTCCAAAGTCCCTCTTAGAAATATAGTTATTTTAGATGGAAGATGGTTCCTACCCTGCCAAAATTTAAACTTGTGTCCTCTAGTCTTACCATTCTCACCATTAAGTATGGATAAAAGATGGTGCATCAATACTACGAATTCCCTTAGCAATCTTAAACACTTCAATCAGATCCCTTCTAACTCTTCTTTTTCAAAGAGAAAAAAATTTCAGAGATCTTAACCTTTCTTCATATGACAACCTTTCCATCCCAAGTATCATTCTAGTAGCTCTACTCTGAACCAATTTAAACAATTCAATGTCCTTTCTAAGATAAGGAGCCCAAGACTGAACACAGTACTCCATATGTGGCCTAACTGATGACCCTTACAATGAAATTATAACCTCTTTAGACTTGTATTCAATATTTCTGTAGATACAATATAAAATCCTATTTGTCCTGCCACTAGCAACAGCACACTGCTTGGATGGCTTAAATGACCGATGAACAATAACACCAAGTTCCTCTTCTTCCATAACACAGTTAAGCCACCTTGTTGAACAAAGTCCATTAATACCATTGTCATAAATAATGTCTTTAAAAGTGTTTTTGGAAGCAGATTTTACAGTGCTGTTACAAATAAAATTAATTTGTTGGGTGGGAAACTAAATTGCTGAAATCACAGAATACAAACACTCCTTTGCATGCTACCTTTCTTCATCCAGAATGTCTGTGCTCTAAAATAGTAGTGGTAGTAGTTTAACATAATTATACATTTTATTTTACCTCTAATTCAACAAAACAGTGCCATTTTGTTTGTAATTA